GTACTCATGCACGCACAAGCTGTAAAAAGATTACGTCATTATTAATTATTACTGATGTGAGTTATTTTAATATATATGTACACGGGGGGAGGGTGAATATCAGGGTACCGCATCAAATATATTATTTGTTTAAACAAGCAAATTAAATTAAGTAATAATATTTAATAATCGTAGTTATTAACATAAGTTCGTAGTTGGCGCCGAACCAAACTTAATAGGTGTCAACTACGCAACAAACACTGCGTATAAGCATAGACCCTCAACAGTCTCTCGAAAGTGTGCGTGCACTTTTTCGAGGGTCTATGGTATAAGTTGTCCTACCTATTTAGGGATAGAAGTGAGCAAAAAAAATCACCGGTAAACTAACTTAGCGGTCCTTAATACCCGGCCAAAGTCAACATAAGGGGGCTATTATGACACTGCATAAACCTGATTAGTCCGTATTAATTTCACTAGTTTGTTTACGCCTCAATGGTAGACCACATGCACCCATATTCATACAGCTCCCAGTCATCATATCTATTAGTCACAACTCATCCAAACCTATATGATGTGACAGCCCGAAGCCTATAAACGGTTGAGGTATTCTTTGTAATTGACAATGTTTTGCCAGCTTTCACGTCATGAAAATATGTCTTGAATAAAGTGTCTGTGTGAGGCGAGGTTCCCGATGACCGTACCTTATCCTGTCCCGAATGTCAGAGGTGTAAATGTGTTTAGTTGACACGCAAGTCGCGGTAAATGACGGTAATATCGTCATAACACTCAGCGTGGCGTTAATTTCGTTTATTCTCCTCGATATAATGACCCAATTTATTAATAATTTCACGCTTTCTCCTTTTGCGACGGGCACTGTGACGCTAGAGTGAGCTTCAAGTTTCACGCCATACTTCACATCGCCAACTGAGTATATGGAGTTGTTCGCTGGCACCTGCTGCCTGCAGGGACACAGGGAATTCAACTGGACCGTCTTTCTCCTTTGGGGCAGGCTAAAGGCAAACACGCGACAAATTTCGAGCGAGGAAAGAAGCCGTTACTTAATGCAAATAGTTGCCGCAAGGTTCTTGTCATTTTGCCAACGGAGAATAACGAGTACAAAAAGGACCTGTTCTTTCCTGCCCTGAGCTTATGACGTTCCACATGCGTAATCGCCACTCTAAACTTCGTGAACAACACGTACACGCTACATCTAAGTAATTTTGGCTTCTAGTGTAATTCTACCAAAAGTTTGTTGCTTGAATCGTGCAGAACAACTCCCAGTAAACATATATGCAAATGAACAGGCGGCTGCAAAATTGGACTAGAAGGTAAAACGTATGAATATTCCACGTAGCAAATAGCGCTTCCCAATAAGTAGTTATATGCCCATACATCTATCCAGTTTCGCGGGCACCAACTCCCACAAGTGTCGTTAGCTTTTTATCTTTCCGTTCGACCAGCGACGCGGTGTCTAATTCTCTGTGCATTAGCTTCCCGGCAGCATCCATTGTTTGACAGCCGTCGAACGATATTTGCAAAATAAAATTACGTTAATTAAAAATTGAACCGAGGGAAAACAGTTATTGGCGTACTAAAAAATAAATTTCCAAATTTTGCGGTTGATGCCCTTCGATCATTGCAGCAGGTGAGTGACGTACGACGCTAATTAACACGTTTTTGTTATTCACTTCCTGTGATGAACGTAAACACATAGTTATCTCGGCTTGTTGTAACTTAACTACGGATATGTTTCAATTGATCATCGAATGTAATTAGAAATAACGGATAATGACGATAAAATGTGATATTAATATTAGAATGTAGAAGGGCGGTCTGGTGCCACGCATGCTCAATTTGGTAGCATTTGTTTTCAATTTGTAGAAATTACATTTGTAGTTAATGCCCAATATTGATGTAAACATTAATATTATTGGTAGTTTAGTAACTTGTCATTTGATTAATACTAATAACGATATAACAATTACTTTAAATGAAACGCGACATATTGGTCGTGAGATTTAAATTAATAAGTTTTTGTATTTAACATTTTCCAACGAAATCGTGTTATATTTCACCAGTTATTAAGTGCATCAAAGTTTCGCAGCTGACTACCGGTTTGAAATGGCGCAACGCCGGGCGTGATGATCAGGCTGCGCTGTAAAGTTATAGTTTAGTGCTTATTCCGCGCAGACGATACGAATATGATTGATGATACTTATAAGTGTAATTATTTTGATTTTTATAGTTTTCTTTATTTTTATTCCCCGAGGTACCATACTTTCAAAAGCATGCACTACGCCAAATTGCCGCAATGGAACCAGTAAAGTACGGGGTTCGGCCCTCTTTCATTCGAGGGGCCCGACATTCGTTCAGTCGCCGCATTACTCGATGGAGTCGCAGCAGTCGCCCGCCAAAAAAAAAAAAAAAAAAAAAAAAAAAACTTAGCGGGTATATATGTGCATATATGAAATCTCCGCACCCGTATAAGGCACAATGAATTGGGATTTCACCTCGACCTCGAGAGAGGAGGGGCATTATGAAATGGTATCAGTACAGTACTGCCACACACTGGATACAGCAGGTGCATGAGTTTTGTCTCAACTAATCGGTCGCACGTTACACTTGGAACTGGCAACGTACACATACAACACGTTGGTGTAGTCTGTTTTCCTTACACTGGTTAACAAAGTGCGGGCGAATAGCTTACAGAGTTCAGGTCCCTATGTATATAATAATGGAAAGTAGGGTCTGTGCTACTGTTCTAGCTTGTTCTTGTCAGTATAATTGCAACGCGTCAAACCGTACTTTGCAGCTCGGCCTGAATTGCAATGCCTGCTCAGTGCAGGTGCATCGATCACCAGATTCGGCCTGACTTCTGTATGTACTAATTGCCCGGTGTAAATTTTTTCTTTGTTGCATTGTCACGTCGAATAAAACCCAGTACGGAGCGTGCATTTAGCGGCCCCAATGTTGAAACCATTGCGCAAATAGCGTTGATGGAAAAAGAAAAGAAAACAGAAGCAATGAGCCAACAAACAGGTTTCTTGGGTCATTTGCACTGCTTCGCTAAAGTCCATTCAATTTGTCATATTCAATGACATGGGGTGAGAGCTCTACGATACAAAGGCCATCCGTACCATCGGGAAAAGTGCAAATAACATTCACTAGAATGGGGTTGAATTTTTATCCGGCCCCTCAGGATATTATTTATCTTTAAGATGGTGAGAAATACGTTTGTTTTTAATCTCCAATCGTCTTGGGCGATTGATAGGACATCATGACATTATTATGGAAATTGTGGCAGGATACTAGTCTGATATATCCATTGTTTCGTTGGGTATTATTTCACCGAATGTCATGTTTTGCCAACATCAACAAAACAAATATTTCCCATTCTATTGTTTTTTTTTTTTCTTCTCCGCTCTAATACACACACAATGCTCCCAGTGCGCTTTTCCTATTGCGTAACGATAACCCATTTCATCTGTTTTTACCATTTGCATATTTTTTTTTTTTTTTCGTCGCGGAAGCACGCTCAAATCATTCACCAACGTGTGCGACTGTGTGTTGCGTGACACGGTGTGAAGACGCAGACCAGATCTTACAGCCACCACCTCGAGGGGTTGTCCACAAACCTTCGCTTTTAGGCGGTTAGAAAGCAGTGAAATTCACTTACGCACCGAGAGTGCTTTTAGTAAAATGAATTATTAAAGTGGACTCCAACCCCATCCCCTTCTGTACTACACAAATGTCCGTGAAATCACCCTTTAAAAAAAAACACTGGCGATGAGGCGGGGGAGCCTGAGTTTAGTGAGCGTGCACTCGATGAGAAGGGACAAGTGAAACGGATGCCGTGAATGAGCGTAACAAGCAGAGAAATGGGACTTTCTATGAAAAACGACTAGGCGGCGACTCGGGTGCTCCAGCTTCTTTCAAACCTTTTGAAATATTAATCAAATTTCACGGTTTCTTTGTCAATTGGGCAATTTATACAGAAGTTCGTCTAGTCATCAGAGAGTTGTGAGCGAATTACAGAAAGTGGAGATGAGCGATCCGACGCAATACGTGTATCAATAATTCGAACACCACCGCGACAGTCACTTACCGATCAACAAAACACGCGATATTATCGTCGTTAGCTTGACTGGCTGTCGATACTCATGATTGCAATTACTTTCGAAGTGTTTACTTTTTAAATGAACCGCACACTACTCATGTATCGCGACATCTTGTACTATTTAGCAGCTCAAATGTATCTCCAACAGTCTCTCGAAAGTGTGCGTGCACTTTTTCGACGAATCCCAACACAAGTAACCGTATTAAGATCAGGGAAACAGATACAGTTTACCCAGCTTTCTTATTGAGAGTATACACCGGCAAAAAAAAGGGAAAAACAAAAGAAAAAAAACTTAAAAAGTAATTAAACAAAGTTAGAACAATGGTAGTTGGGAAAAAAGTAAAAAAAAAAAAGAAATCGACTAATTTAATGAATGAGAATATAATCGAATTATCGCGTAAACCGTTTAGGAAAGCCAACATATACGAAGATAATTGGCGCACACACACGCTCCACTCAGTGGACAACATTTGGGCATTCACTGTGTGGCGATGGCGGTGACGTTGACAATGATCAGGCACACTGACCCGCATTGAGGGTTGTATATGTTATTTCCTTTAGTAATAGAGTATATAGCTACGTCACAGCGATACTCGCTACGACATCGACCGACTTCTGAAAATGCAATCGCTTGACGATCTTCTGTGATGTTAACCCATCTCTCTCCAAGATCTCCGGGTCCAAGGAACTCACAGTAGTGCTACGTTAAGAACATTATCTTTTGCCGCAGCCAACTTAATTGACAATGAAGATGATAACAAATTTCGATGCGATTTGGATATGCGATAGCGCAATTTGCGCAACCTGTGTTCCTCTACGTTCGCAGAAACGGCACAGCACTTGTAAGACTGGTGTGTGGTTAGCAAGTAGATAAAATAGCAAAAACGGAAAAATAACTACTCACCTGAAACAACGAATTATTAGTATGACCGTCACGGTTAAGAGTTGGTTGTCTACGACTCCTAGCGCTTCAAGTCGACTTCGTGTTTGGCTCTCTCTATCTCTCTCGTGTGGTTAGAGTGGGCGAGGCCTTTTTATGCTGACGCGTGGCCCTGACTGCTCAGTTCTGCATATTAATAAGACAAGGACGATACAAGTGAGACACCAGCAGCAGACCAGTGAGCTTTTATATACTGTTCGAAGTACTGGACAAAGCATGCCTAAAACATATCATTTCTAAATTTACATGTATTTTGAAAGGAGTTATTATTTAAGGCTCTGGAAGCCCTTTATTTTTGTTTCCCTACGCTGCTCTGTATGGTTCCAAAGAACCGCTTTACTATCGTCGATGAGAGACGCATGCGCTAAAGTGTTCTGGATGGTTTTTCACGGGAAGTGTCCGACACGGAGACACGGCACCTGTTCGCCTGTGTTTCGAAACCCAGTTTTCGGCATTTATCAAGTGCCATTGTTACTATAATTGTTCTTCATATTATTGCATTAAAAAATGTTTAATTGGTTTCGCAGAGAAAATTATTTTCAGACCGTTCAGGTAGTCGAAAGAAAGAATTGGATTTGTTTAGTCTCCAAACATTTTTTTTATAGTTTATACTCCTCAATACTGTGTTAGTCTGGAATATACTTCCAGATACTCCTAGTTTTATCCTCTTCAATCACGTGATATTAGGACGGAAAACATGTGCGCGGTGCAACATGGGCGCTATACAATTGCGTTTAAAAAATCAGAGCGACGAATAATATTAGTATGACCCAGGTTGAGTTGGTGTGATCAAAGAACGAGCGCGTTAAAACAAAGATATTTGACCAATTAATCGCGTGAAGCATAACACACACTTTTAGTTTATAGATGAAATATTGGTAGTTTATCTTTGGTAGCTAAAGAACGACAAATTCAATGCAATGCAAAATGTAACGCCATTAGCAACACTCAGCTCATATCAGCGATGAAATTAAGTTTTTTGATACATCCTGATATGAAAACGAGAAGAATGCTTTTTATTACGGCAAAGCTCACGATAAAAGTCCATTGCTGCCGTTTAACTTAATATATTGTGATATTGGATGAAATTCACAGGTATTTCGAACTGCTTCTCGTACCAGACATGTATCTTAAGTGGATTTTCCGTTACATAGTGACACAGTATCAAGTGTAAACGAGACGATTTTTATCCAAAACGCTGATAAGATTCTTAAACGAGCCGTATCCAAATTGATACCACATAGATAGGAAATGTTGTCAAGTTATTGTCGTATACACGACAAAGTGACAAATATTGTAACGCGTGAAGCGAATATCTCCCTTATTGAACGAATAACCCCGGAAAAATATAGTCTGTCCAAATGACCAGATACCAGTGGATCGGGAGCTGAGGATAACTCTGCCACACTTGTCTCCTCTTTTGACGAATGGCTCGACGGCAACATCGCCATAGATTTTGCAGTACAATTGTCCTGGCTTTTAAAACATTCTCAGTGAATTTAATACAGGATTAGAAGGGTGACAGTTGGTAGAATTTGATTCTGTAATGTGCACTTGACGTTCACAATTGACTATTGAAATTGAACTTTATTTTCGCGCCATCGATCTCTCGTCATCTTTTAAAAACAGTTTGTTCTTCAAGAGCTTGGCCACAGACAAATGGACGCAAGCAATTTTGGTAATATGGCGGCAGCTGCGCGCGCAGGCATCGCCATCAATGCTCTAATCCTATGCCAACCTTTAAACGCCGAAATGTTGACGTTTGCATCATTCTATTGTTTTAATATGACCGTGTGTTTCGTTAAAGTTTTTCGCAAAAAAGGTGGTGTGTGGCGATCGAACAAACTTGTGGTAAACTATTTTCTATTGAAATCCAAAATAAATAAATGAATGGTTTAATGTTCTATGCAAGATCAATATGTGCGCTGTTGTACTATGGGTCAAAGTATTACAGTTATGCGATTAATGGTGAAGTCAGAAAAGTTCGATTTTGTCACGTTGTCATCTGCTGGCACCGGGGGGTTCACCTTTTTATTATAAACCAAGGCGATTTTTATTGGCCGATCGTGATTGCCGACGCCAATCTTCCACTGTAACTGCTAATAATCACGAAATTGTTCGTTATTGTTCATGTGATTGAGGGGACGACAACAGCGCTTTTCGATCGCCCCGCTGAGGAAAACCACAGTCAGAGAGTTACTCTTTTAACAACGGCACGCTGCAACTGGTGATCAGAATCGTGAGGTGGCATATTTGTCATTCGTGTATCTGTGGTAGGCTTTATGCCAAACTATCGGTGTAGAAACACATTTGAATACATTTATAACTTTGTAATTATGCAGACAGAAGACGGCAATTATTGGGAAGATAGTCTAACATTTCGGAAACGGTGGACTCGGCGATACTATAATCCAATCGGACGTAGTTTATTGTTGTTTCTCTGCCTCCGGGCGGCGCCACATTAACTAGCTTGCGTGGTTTTGCTTTGTGGCACTCATTCGCAATACTACTTCAATCGAATGGCAAGCATATGCTATATTATTTTAGTAAACTTATTTATGACGCAGCGTATTTTGTTTATCATGTTTTAATCGACAATTTTCCTGCACAAATGCCCCCAAAAAAGATGTGTAAAAGTTTTGTCCATATAAAAAGTAATACATGCGCAGAATCGCGTTGAACATGATTTCTTTTTCTTTAATGAAATCTTCGCTGGGTTGATCAAAACAACCCATGCAACATCAATCATAAAGAAATAGACAGCACACAGCTCTTGCGAAATAGACACAAGTACGGAAAGGTGGATCTATGACTTTTTCATAGGCTCCAACACGCGCCGAGCTCATTTGCATGACAGTGGTCCCCAGCAGGTGCCTGGGATCTGAGCAAGAACCGTCACAGTAATTACACAACGAGCACCAAGACCCATGAGTTATGCATGTGTATGTTCAACAAGTACCGGCCACCAGCGGGCATTTATTAATAGCACGGCACCCATTTTCCACCCCTTCAAATCAGTGAGCGCAAAAAAGAAAGACGAGACAAATATAGAGAAAAAAAAATCGTTTAAACAAATACTTGTTTGCTTCCTGAAAAGAAAAGATTTGCGCAAACCCTACTTCGACCGTTGTTTACTTGATGTCTTACTTTGTACGCACACCTGTATTTCACAGCCCCCCTATAGCTAGTGTCTTGAATGATAAATACAGCCTTATAACTGTCCCGTAATTCAAGTTATACTTTTGTTCACTTTTGTTTACTTTTATGAAGGCTTGATTTCGTTCTTTCTTTTTGAGGAATAAGAAAGTCGTATTTCAAACGTGTTTTCATCCATGTTTTTTTACTATCAGTTGACAACACGTTTAGATGTTTGTACTAGCAGTTAGAACTAAACTTTTCAATAAAGCGCGCACCGTGTACATGTCAAAACACGGCTATGTTTTTTTATATTTTATTATTTTCAGGTGAAAAAATATAAACGAACTATAAATCTTAGGGAATAGTTGGATGTTGCGCGTCGTCCCCACCACGTGCACCGTGTGAGTCGTGACCCCAGGGCGACCTCCTAACCAAATCAAAGAAAATTTTCGCTGCCTTATTTTTTATTTCCAGTACAATATTTGGTGTATTGTGTTCTTTTGTCTGACTGGGTTAGTGACGGCTCATATAAATTGGTGCACCTTTTCATCACCATAATGGCGAACACGTGTTTCATTCACCAAGTCCCCAGCCACGGTTTGCAATCTTTTGAGTCATAGAGCAGTTGCAGGAGGCCCTCCAAATTGGCTACTTGCCGCAAAAAAAAAAAAAAAAAAAAAACTGCGGGCAATGCTAGCCTCGGTGTGTTTTCAATCGTTAGAGATGTTGCTCAAAGTCGCACATAGTACGCAAGATAATACATCTACGGTGTTTATAATCTGAAAATGAATAATATTAGCTAATTATGCATTTAATTAAATGATTAACAATTTAAATTGTTCATTATATTGATAATTTCATATAATAATATGTAGTTTACTTTTCGAACCGCGCGTAAAATATTGCCGCCATATACGGATTGAATAAAAGTGTCCAAGAATCACTGAAGCCAAAACCTGGCGCGACCAATGCGTAATAAATAAATAGCGTAATAAAACTTTTAAAAAAAGTTCACATTTGCCTGGTGTAAATTGCTAAGACCGTCTACAACGTCGTACACGGAGCGGCGAATATGACAAACTCATAAATAAAAAGTACATAGCACGAAATGCGTATATGTGTTTGTTGTATCACATTCATGTTCTTGCACAATTTATCCAGTAAATTAAACAGGTGCCCATCAGATTAAAACACTGTTAAGAGTAATCCTGCCACGTACTGGCAAGATTTTTCGTAGCCAGGACGTCGGCATTGTGCACATAGGTGTTCAATTTCTTTCCTTTCTCATCGATTTCTCGTGTTCCCTCATTGTTTTATTGTGCATAGCGCAAAACTACAAAGTTGTAGTGACAGGTGCGCCGCAGCACCACTTCACGAGAGTGCTGTTGTGCTCTAACGTTCAGCCATCTAGGAAGGGAGAAAAAAAAAAGTGCCGAATACTTGTTTTACGTTCCAAACAGTACACGCGAGTACTTTGAGAAAAAATACAAATGAATAAAAAGAGATAATTCGTTTATGGAAACCAAATACACGTGACCGAATGACGAATTCCACCTATTTTCAAAACATAGGTTTATTATCAATACAGTCTTGATGCGCATGCGCAGTAGATATGCGCTTAATATAATCATCAACGCAAACTAACTCCGGTCATGCTTGGTGGAATTGAAATGAATAACTGTATATAGAGTCATATGAATAATTTATATTGAAATAGAAAGTCTGTTTCAATTCATGTTTGAAATGATTGTCACCGGATCGCCGATCATATTTTGTGCGGATCGACGAATAGGATACAAGCAGGTACAATTATACTCTAGTTTGAATATGAGCGGACTTGAACAACCTAACTAACTAACTAAATAAATAAATAAATAAATAAATAAATAAATAAATGAATAACAAATAATCGCGACTCTAGTAAACCGAGACTGAAAAATAGCAATTGGTCGCTAATCATTGAATCTAATATCATGACATAGACGTCT